ACGCAGACACGCAGACACACAGACACACAGACACAGAGACACAGAGACACAGAGACACAGAGACACAGAGACACAGACACACAGAGACACAAACACACAGAGACACAGAGACACACACACACACACACTTGCTTGCAGTTACGCCCACGGCGTGTAGCCAAAGACCTTTGGGGAGGGGGACAAAGCTGCAAAATTGAGTGCCACTTCAGCGGATTTTGATGGCAACTCGTTGAAATTCGTGAGTCCCTGATTCTTTGTGGATCGAAATCTAGAGCTGCTAGTAGATGTCCATTTCTCCTGACAATGGACCATAGACCAAGCAAGAGCTTTTGACCACACCGGCGTCGGCTTGGTTTCGTGGGGGGGGGGGTGCTAATGGCTGCTATATGCTGCAATTGTGTTGATTTGGACGAGCCGAACCCGGGACTAGCACCCAAGTCACCATCACCCAAAGGAAAAAAGGCCCCGGTTTCTGACTGGCTCCACATTCCGCCAACGGGTCCACCGCAAGTTTTTTTTTCCCGGTGCCATGGTGGCAAATCCATTTGGGCGTGGCTCAAAATTAAACGATCGGAGGGGCAAACCGCAGGTTTTGGTCCATGTTTCCACGAAACCAGGGCAACCCATTTTGGAATTCCGGTTTTGTGACAACCAGCCATTTGTTTGAGCCGCCGCTAGATGACCTCTAGAAACCCACTGGCGCCACAACCAGGCCGGCACCAGGGCACCGGGCCTGGCTCTCCTGGCGCGCTGCGGTGGCCAGCTGCAGAAGTGCCAAGAGGCAAGCCCCTGGCGTTCGAAGCATGAGCAATCCAAGCCTGGCTTGGCTGTGGCTCAAAAAACCGGAATTCCAAAATGGGTTGCCCTGGTTTTCGTGGAAACATGGACCAAAACCTGCGGTTTGCCCCTCCGATCGTTTAATTTTGAGCCACACCCACTTCGTCTCGAACTCAGGAATCCAAGCTTAGGGCCCCAAAAAATGACCATGGTAACTTTTCCCATGCGAAAGTCATCTTGGTTCCCTGAAAGGACCTGTTGATGAACCCCCACATGTTGGCGGATTTTCGAATTTGTTGGATTCCCGCTATGACGTCAGCCGAAAAGTGGACACCCAAGCTAAGGAGTATTTGAGGGCACCCCTGTCAACTTGCTTCAAAGGGAGACTAAACGCAAATTAGACATACCCTAGTAAGTTGGATTCACCCCAGTCGCAAGAGCAGTGCTTTGTTAGTGATTCGGGGCATATACACAGCTGGGAGCCTGCCTACAAGACGGTGGCGTTGCGGAGTAGTTTGGTGGGCGTGCTTTTAGCTAGCAAATTGCTTTAGCTAGCCTGCGCAGAGTGGAAATTGGTGTTCCTACTTGGATTCCATCTATGTCGCTTCAGCGCGCATGGACACGCTGTCGCACTGCTGAGTATAGCGCCCCTCAACAGTCCTTTAGACGCCCATTGTAAAACAGGGATCCTTACATTATACACCTGAACATTGCAACTTGCAAATGGTGGTTTCCAACTTTATTTTGGTGTTGAAAAAGCAACATGTTTCAAATGATTGCAAAATGGAGATTTCTTTTAAGGAGCCCTGTAAGACAAGCAAACGTTGGCTCTGAAAAGGCCAGGCGTGGCCTGTGAAAGGCAAGGATTGGAGACACACCCAGATCTGTTCTCCGGGCGCCTGTGCGGGTCATGGTGCAGAATGGAAAATGGGGAGTATTGAGTTCAGACAACTTGAGCCGAGATGCTGATATCCACCAAACTGCTGTTTGCCCTCTGCTCCTGCCTCCCTCCCTCTTTCTCCCTCCCTCTCTCTGCGGCCAACAAACATTAACAGTTCCAACAAACATTAGCACGCCCGAATCAAACGTTTGACATGCCTTTGCTGCACACGTGCGAACCACCCTTCCGCCTTGGCATACTTCCCGTTAGACTTTGTTGACCGCACTCGGCCAAGCGCAGTTGACAACCCAAGAAAGACATGGGCGCTGGGATCAGGGCATACAATAGAAATGTGGTGTGGTAGCAAATTTGAACCATGCCCAGTCTTTCAGTTGCACTTCCGACACACTCTTGGACATCTGGCCTTTTGCTTGACCGGCATCTCTTGACGTAGCCTTTGACGCTTCCTAAACAGCCCAAAGGTGCGTATGTGAAAAAATACGGCTGTGGACCCCCACAAATATGGTTTCTTGTTTTGAGCTTCTCTTTGAACCAACCTGGAATGATGCGTTCCTTTTGGTTTCCCTTTATCCCTCCCCTCAAAACACACACACACACACACACACACACACACTTGAACTCCAAAAAGGAGAGTGCTAATCTTTCGAGTACAACTGATGAGTCTCGAGTACAACCGACAAGTCTCGAGTACGAAGAGTTTCGGCTCGCAATGCACTTGGCTTCCCTGTAGGTACTTTAACAGGGAAACACAAAACAACGGCGGTTCAGGGAGGGGACCAAAAGGACTTTCAGCAACATCACGACGCAGGTACAGGTGTCCACGTCTGGACACCCTTCCCACCTTTGGCAGTAGCTTCATTGCGTGCAGTATGCCAAAGGTGCTGCACGCCCCTGCTGCGAAGCCGAAAGGGTGGTGACAGGGCATTCTGTCACTCCGCACACACACGCCCCTCTACGAGGGGCGAGAACCACTTTTTCGGGGGGAGAAAAACCACGCGCCCCAAAACCGGGCGAAGACCCCAACAGAAAACAAACGGAGCAAGGGAGCCCAAAAGAAACAGAAAGGCCCCAGGTTGGGTCTCCGCGGGCAAAACCCCAAACAAGAAACAAGAACAACGGGGAAGCCAGGTTTCGGGTCTCCGAGGGCAACAACCCCAACCAGCACAAAAACGACCTAGACCTTGTAGACGAAAGGGGCCGCGAAGGCAAAGAGGCAGAAGAGGAGCAGGCCATCCCTAACCGGGCGATCAGGAAGTACAAGAAATAGCCCAGAGAGGGAAAGAAAAAGAAAGGGAAGAAAGAAAGGGACGAAAGAGAGAAAGAAAGAGAGAGAGAGAGACAGACACAGAAAAAGAGAGAGAAAGAGAGAGAGAGACACAGAAGCGTATTTAGGGCGTCGCAACCGCCCGGGGGAAAAAGAAAGGATCAGGGTGCGTATTTAGGGCGCCGCATCCCGCCCGGGAAGAAGGAACAAGAAGCAAAAGGCAAGGAGACAAAAAGGAAAAAAGAAAGAAGAAGGAAGAAAGAAGAGGAAGAGGGAAGGAGTAGTATGCGTTTTTAGGGCGACGCATCCCGCCCAGATAGGAACAGAGGATGAAGACCAAGGCTCGCGGAGAAAGACGTCGAATCCCGCACAGGGGCCAAGAGGACGGACCCGAAGTAGCAACGGAAGGGGAAGAAGACGTCAAGCCAAACTACGTGAGGAAGAAGAGGAGTAGGAACAGGAAGACAGACGCGAAGACGAAGACGAGGAAAAAGGTGAACAACGCGAGGACAGCCAGGCCATCCCTAAGCGGGCGAACAGGAGCGGGACGAACGCGCGGGTCACGAAAGGCAGCAAAAAGAGAACGGGAGGAAGGAGAAGCCATCCCTAAACGGGCGAAGGACCAGAAGACGGGCACGCGGAAGAAGAAGGCGAGAAAAAAGGGGGAAGACGTAGGGTGAGACGTCACTATGAACTGACGGCTTTCTTCCCTTTAGTGAAACCTCGTTCCTGGTTAAATGTGAAATTCCGCTGTTCTAAGATCGACACGCTGAGGTCAAATTTTCCGACAGAGCCGGCCCGGGGTCACACAATGGGTACACCCGAGGATTCCCCACGAATGGGGTGTACACACTTGAACTCCAAAAAGGAGAGTGCTAATCTTTCGAGTACAACTGATGAGTCTCGAGTACAACCGACAAGTCTCGAGTACGAAGAGTTTCGGCTCGCAATGCACTTGGCTTCCCTGTAGGTACTTTAACAGGGAAACACAAAACAACGGCGGTTCAGGGAGGGGACCAAAAGGACTTTCAGCAACATCACGACGCAGGTACAGGTGTCCACGTCTGGACACCCTTCCCACCTTTGGCAGTAGCTTCATTGCGTGCAGTATGCCAAAGGTGCTGCACGCCCCTGCTGCGAAGCCGAAAGGGTGGTGACAGGGCATTCTGTCACTCCGCACACACACACACACACACACACACACACACACACACACACACACACACGCACGCACGCACGCACGCACGCACGCACGCACGCACGCACGCACGCACGCACGCACGCACGCACGCACGCACGCACGCACGCACGCACGCACGCACGCACGCACGCACGCACGCACGCACGCACGCACGCACGCACGCACGCACGCACGCACGCACGCACGCACGCACGCACGCACGCACGCACGCACGCACGCACGCACGCACGCACGCACGCACGCACGCACGCGCACGCACGCACGCACGCACGCACGCACGCACGCACGCACGCACGCACGCACGCACGCACGCACGCACGCACGCACGCACGCACGCACGCACGCACGCACGCACGCACGCACGCACGCACGCACGCACGCACGCACGCACGCACGCACGCACGCACGCACGCACACACACACACACACACACACACACACACACACACACACACACACACACACACACACACACACACACACACACACACACACACACACACACGCGCGCGCGCACACGCACACAAACACAGACAGGTGCACCAAAATCATCTACCTGCCTCGGCCAGCGACACGCTGTGGCCCCGCCCCGTCTCTGGACCGATCTCAAAGCTGTCCACCTCGAACCAATTCGGCATTCCCTCTATTCCCCGTTGGCTGGTTTTAAGCACCACCCGTTACCCGGGCCGGTTGGCTGAGCTTCCTTTCTGGGCGATGTTTTAAGGTATGGAACCCTTCCTTTTGGCCAACCCGGTGAGTTTCCTTGGTGATGTGTTTTCAGGGAATAGGGTTCCCTGACCAAGGTAAAGCCACTCATGGACCTCCCGACTCCATGGGGGTTATCGTAAAAGTCATGTTTGTTTACCGACAGGGGCTCAAACAAGGAACCACTACAGCAAGTCTCGACGTTCAAAGCAAAAGTTTGGTGTTCGGAGGGTCGATGACGGACAGCGGCCAAGGGGCGTGCATGAAACATTGCCAGTCCCCTTTGAGGTTTCCTTTAGGACGGTAACAGCTTATGTGGCTATTTGGGTATGACCCTCTTTTCTTTTAAGTTGGCTCCTTTGCTTTTTTTGTGTGGTTCTGGCCGGGACACCGCCAGGAAAACCGTTGCGGGGTTCGACCAAAATAAGGGACAGACACAATAAGCAAAAGCCAGTCGGCCCCAGCCAACTTGTGGGCGCCTGCCGGCTGAGGCGGAACACCACGTCCTGCGGTCGCCCATCACTGCCTGGGCAAACGGATGCTTGGCACCGGCTCTCTTTTCAAGCCTCATACTGTTCTTGGCCATGGGTCAAAATCCAAATCGTACCCCCAGTGAACATCCCAACTAAAATAAGTTCTAAAATGGGCGGTGAAGTCACCTACCCCAAAATGGTACGATTGGTTTTGACCCACAGCCATACATACAGTACCCTCCCTCCAACTAACATGGCAACTGACAGGGGCTCCCTTCACAAGGAAATGAATCTTCCAGGTACCTTTCGAAAGGGGTCATGTTTGTTGGAGGAAGGGTATATGATTCAAATTATTACATCTAACAAGCATGGTTGCTGCTTGCATTGACAAGCTAGATAAATCCAGAAGTCATGCATTGATCATGCTATGGAGAATTAATAACTATTAAATAGAGGAAAGGATACACAGGAAACCGCCAAACTGCCCATTGTTTAAGGGTGGGGGTCCCTGATTTTGAGACTAACCCCTTTCAAACTACTTTTGTTAGAGATGCTCTTGGATGAGGCGGTCAAGAGCTGCAGTGGAATCAGCAGTGCTGGACAAGCACAATCCGCGCCTTTTGCGCCTGTGTTTTCAAAGAAGGGCCATTGGTTGCCATCAATCAAGGGGGTCCTTAACTGGGTTTTCCACACACACACACACAAACGGCCACAGCTGGCCGCTGACATTGGGTCGTCAAAACTACGGATGCGCTTTTTTGATCCCCGCTTGGATCTCCGGCCAAGTGGTTCACTTCACTAAACAGGGGACTAAAATGTGGGTTACAAGGCTACTAGCATCTACTACCAACTTACCGCCTTGGCCAAACACCCAAGAAGACCAGCCATACAGCCCAAACCCAACCCAAAACCCCAAAAACCAGCCCAAAACCCACCCAAAACCAACCTAAAACCCCAAAACCAGCCCAAAAAACCAACCCAAAACCAACCCTATTGGGAGCCCCTCACGTGCAGGCCACGAGCTTGCTCCGTTGCCGAGCTGCGCAGGGCTTCTGCCCGCCTGCCGCGCACGCCCAGCTCCACAAAGGCCTGCGGACCCCCCCGGCGCTCGGCGCTCGGCGGAGTCAGAGCCAGAGGCAGCGGGGGGCATTGAAGGCAGGGCCAGTGTCCACACGTGGCTCAAAATTAAACGATCGGAGGGGCAAACCGCAGGTGTTGGTACCCATGTGTCCACTTACCAGGTTTGATTTTGGTACCGGTTTTTTGAGGCACAGCCACACCAACAACTACTGGGTTGCAGTCTGCTGCCCTGCTAAAAGTGAATCACTCTTGGTGGTTCAATACGGAAAACCCATTCGTTGGCAAAAAGTTAAAGTCCTAACATCCCTTGGCAAAATGCAGCAGAGACCACTTTACCCTCTTTCACTCATTGAAGTTCCCAGGGTTTGGAAGACGAACATCTCAGGCCCCCCTTCTTCCACGACCGTAAGCACCATATTACTCACAAAACCAAAAATCATGGTGTCAAAGGGGAGCCCTAACACGGAGCTATCATATCCTTTTGCTGTGACACCAGCCAAAAATAATGGGCGGCCTCACCGACTTTCGGGCCCCGTTCGACGTCGCCTTGACCACTTCTCTCAGCATGGCCGGATCCTGGAAGCGCCAAAGGTCCATTGACATTGGGTGTCGTGGTGATTTGTGAGGCCTCGCTATCGGGGAGTGTCCTTTCTTAGGGGAACCCCCTAAAATGGTGGGGGTGTGCTTTTTTGGTTTGCCTTTAGAACCACAAAACGGAGCACACACCTCCTAGACCCATGGGTGTTCTCGACACTGGGAACAGCTACCTGTTCCGTCATTTGAACACTGCACACTGAACCCTTCTTCCAATCATGGAAGTCAGGAATTTGGAAGACCATCCTCGGCGGCCCCTTCTCCGCTTCCATTCGAAGACCGTCCACCATGTTTGAGGCTGTTCCAACCATGAGGGGCTGAAGAAGAAAAATCCCCCCATGCTCTAATTCGATTTAGTACTCAAGCCCATTCCAGGCCCTTTCATCGACTTTAGCTTCATGGACTTCAGTTCCAGCCGGCCTGCAGAATCTCGGCTCCGCTGCTTCTGGCCACCCTCAGCAAAAAAACAGCTCACGTCCTGATCCCGCGACAAGTTGTTTTCTTCGGTTTGTCGGAATTGCTGGAGGGAACCTTGGGTTTGATGTGAATCTTAAACTGGGAACCCATTGCTGGACATCAACAAATTTCGGGCGTCCCGACTCCACTAACCACTGAGGGGCCAACTCGGAATCACAGCCACTTGGGTTTGGTGTGCGACTTTTGAAAAGCATGGGCAAATTCATCCGCAGCATATGTGGTCTCCAGGGGGAAGAAAGACATGTGCTCTGCAGAAAGATAAAGCAACAAAGAAACGGAACAAACATCCTTGGAAAGGCATAACACTCTCGCACATCAAGGCCCCTTCCTCAGAGGATTCTGTATTTCCAGTTGGGGGATTCAGCCAGAACGAGGAACGTGGATTACACTTGGCGTTGCATGTGTTGCCATTTGTGATTTGCGAAAAACATGCCGGTGACCAGGCTGTTTGCACGCCTGATAATAGCCTTTTCTTTGTTGCAGAGTGAGCGGCTGATATTTGACTATAATGGCTTCCGACATGCGTTAAACAGCAGCGGGCTGGATAACAGGTCTCTTGTCATAAATCTCTGTGCTGTCCACAGGAGGGAAAATGACATTCAAAGTTGGGTCCTCCTTGCGAGACGTGGTCCATGTTGCGGGAGCATGTTGTTGAAGGACACAAAGTGCCGCGTGGCTTGCGCGATGCCAACAAAAGTTGGGGCAAAACTTGCGTAGCTGCTGCCGGGCACGACCAGCTGCTGCTTGGGAACAGACTGCTGCAGCAGGCGCCTGCGCTGTTTCCTCTGTCGGTGCGATACAAGGTTGAAGCTTTGCTTGTACATCCTGCAAATTCCACATTGGTCCAAACAAGCAGCACAAGTTGCAAGCATTTGGCTCCTTGATGTGCAAGGATTGCTAGTGCAGAGTATCCGTGTCACAGACATACAGCAACATGGGTTCGGCCAGGATGGAGCTCAGACATCACAGATGTTTTGCGGCCTGTCTTTGCTGCCTCGTTTCTTGACGTTGGAAGGGAGCAACAATTTAAATTTTAGCAGTCAAGTGGGGACTTCCCATTAAACCACAATAACCAAAAATGTAAAATGTTTCCCAACAATGGCGGTTGCCTACTGCTGAGAGACCTGCCCTAAGGCAAAGTCTCGGGTTTTCACGAGGGTGTTTGGGCCATACCCAGCCGTTTGTGCAGCAGTGTTGCGGCTTCTCTTGTAGGACAATTTGTCTTACGGCCCTCAAATGGCCATTGTGTGCGCCTTGCCGATGACACCATTCGGTTTGTTGAGGCACTGAGACAGTGCTGGGATCCATATGGTTTTGGGGTGCATCATGATTGCGCAGAATGCACTGCTTCAGATGCGTTCCCCCGTCTTCTTTTGAATGCATTAATGGCCCGTCTCAGGACTCGGAGCCAACTGAAAGAGGTAAAGAGCAACTTCCAGTAAGCCCAACAACATCAACTCAGCAACCTTCCGGCCCCATGGGTGCGGCTTGCAAAGGCCTGACGACCCGCCAACCAAGTAGGATCCCCAATGGCAAATGCGAATCGGTTTCGGGTGCTCAACTAGATGTCTTAAAACTGGGCCCAATTCCCGAAACTCGTGGCTTTCCTCTTCCTCTCAGAACCACAACTTGCCCAAACCTGGAAAATGAAAAGTTAACCGTTTGTGACCTTGACGAAATACGAACCCAAACCTGCAAAAACCAAGAGGTCAGATCCGGCCGGTCTCAAACACGACACACATCCCACGACGTCGGGACTCGGCATGCTTTCGGCTTTCCGGAACCTGGGACGCCGCACCCTGGAGCTGGTGGCCTGTGGCGTGTTGGAATCAGACCACTGGAGGGGAACATGTTCCCGTTTATTCATAAACCGGTTGGTTGAGTATGGCTTATTGATATGTACGAAACCATTGCAAGCGATGCAGGCAAAAAACAAAAAAAACACACGTGCCGGTCGCAAGGAGACTCAGTAGCTCGGACTCCCTGATGAGTCTCTTGGGATTGCCCTTGGCCCAACTCTGCAGACAAATCAGATCGGACTCTGCTTCAGTGAGCATGAGCGCCCAAAACCTCTTGACCTATCTACCAATCTGATTATACAGGCTAATATTGGCCATGCCACCCAACTGAAACCGGGTAGTTTGCACCACCCACATGGCCAATGGGGCTTTGGGGCGTTCGCACTGATCCATCGCCCAACCGTTCCCGTGCCTCGCGCGGAGCAAGTCTGCCACCGGGTGCCTGCCAAATGCCTTGCACGCGGAGCAGCACGCAGAGCAGTCGACGGTAGAGCCGAGCCGCTGCAAGGCTTTAAGTGATAAACCACGGTACCTCGAGAGCAGTGCGGGGTGAGGCGGAGAGACCGCCGAATATATCTATTGAAACAGACATTCGAAGTTGTCAGTCACTTTTGAAGGCGACTCTGACATCTGAATCTGAGAACACTAAACCCCCTAAAGCCACCGCTTGCCCGCGCCGACATCGCTGACACGCATCATTTCTGTCGCCCACTGCAGGAGCGAGGGATCCCGCCCGCGCGAGTCGTCGAGAGCTGTTCCTCGGCCAGTCGGGATGCCTTCTGGGAACCAATGGGAGGTGAGTGAAAGCAGACCCCCGCAAAGGTCCGATTTCCTTGGCGAACGCCATCCAAACGTGGGTTCAACCAGTCCCCAATGGCTTGGGTGCAACCAAGCCACTGGGCTCCTGGCAGGAACTGCAGCCAAATGGATCTCTCCCAAAATGGGGGGTTCAACAAATGCCAGGTTTCTTGTGGTTCGCCTTCAACACCACATCAAAGGCTCCCGTTTTGGGACTCAAATCCAGTCCTGCGCAGTGACTCGCAGATCTCGCCACCTTGCACGGGCCTGGCCTCGTCCCAAATGTCCAGGAAGCACGGGAGCTGCCCCTTGAATGGCACCTGGAACTTCCTTGGAGACCAGTGAAAAGCTGGGTGCACATAGGGTGTCTGGAAACATTGACAAGTTACACATTCCCTATGGGTTTACCAACACATAAAGGCTATTTGGCACCCTAGAACCAGTGTTTCCCAGCAAGTCTTTGCAGTTGTCACAGACAGCCTGGAGAGTCGTTCGGAAAGAGTTGCTGTACCAGGGGCGCATGGAGCAACGGAAACTGCTTCCTTGGCGAGTCTTGAGTACTCCCAGTGCTTCCAGTTCCCTCGCGAACCAAGGGAAGCCATTTAAAGCCTAGAGGTAAGAACCCCTGACCCAACATGGAAGAAATCCCGGCAAATGGAAACATGGACTAAAGCCTGCGGTGGTTTGGTGGTTCAACTTCTGACTCATACCCCAAATTATGTGCCAAAGGTTGGTTGAGTTTAAAGGCCCCACAGCGTCGAAGCGCCAGACATACCGAGCCCTCAATAGGCGCTCTCGCCGAGTCTCTGCTCGCAAGGTCGCTGCCACGTGACGAAGGCCCGCAGCAGCCAGCCGGGGTGAACCACGGCCACTTCTGTGCCGCCGGGTTCGGCGAGTTCCGTTGGAAAGCTGAGATTGGACACCGATGGAAGCGAGAAGATGCGCTGCGCTGGCAAGCTTGCAGCTCGAAAAATCAAATTCGTGGGGGTTCTCACAACCAAAGGGGGGTCCACCTTGAGAACCCTCCCTTACACCTTCAGCCACCAGTTCCAGAAATGCCAGTTGCCGCTTGGCCGCCTCAAGCCATGCCTATCTCACCTGCGGAACGTCTTTCTTTGAGGGAGCTTCTTTTTTTGAGGGCACCCTTTTCGGGGTTTTAAAGTTTTCAAGGGAACCAAAAACTAAAAACCGAAGCCACATTTTCGTGGGGTTCCTAAAGTGATCGAACGCCCCGAGTCGCGGCCCAGGCCTTGCGATCGAGCCCTGGCCATGAACGAGCGAGCGGGGGTGGCTCCATCTGGCTCCTAGTTTCGTAGGGGAAACCAAAGGAGGGCATTTAAACGGAGCGCATTTAAAAGGGGAAACCTAGTCTGCTAAGGGAAACCCAAGGTGAACCATGTTCTTAAAGAAAGAGCTTCGGGTCAGGTCTCTCTCATACATTTGGAGAGGCCGTGTCCTTTCCGGCTGTTTCTCCGTTGAGTGCTTATCGCTTCGGCAGGAGGCAAAGTTGCGGGCCCGAATCTTTGCAGGTACACGACTTGAAACTTGGACTGCCCCCTGTCTGGTGCATGTGTCCTTTGTGTTCCGTTCAACCCTAAAAGGGCGCGCCTCGAGACTCTGCTGTGTCTCTGCGGAGACCCTTTTCGACCTGGGAATTCCCCCGCCATATCTGCCAGGAGTAAACGTGACCTCCAGAGATACCCTCCGATGCGCTGCTGTGGCTCCATATTTGTTTTCTGTACTGGTACACCACTGCAAGGGAAACCGTATGCCATCTGGCATAGGTCTTGGGGCCCCAGAAACTCAGTAAACCAAATAGGAGAACCCCCTTTCCTCCAGCTTTTGAGAAACCGCAAAAGGTTACCCTCCAACCAAAAGGAGCCAGCCGCCTTCCCCACATCCGTTCTCCCATGCTCTGTAGCGTGACTCGACTCAGAAACCATCTGGCAAACCACTACCATCTATACAGTACATTACTACACCCCCCCAAAATGTTGGCCAACTAAACCCAAGATAGCTGACCCCCCCCCCCCATTCTTTCCGAAATTTTGGAAGTCCAAACCGGGTACCTGCCCGCCCCCCCCTTAAAGGGAGGTTCACACGCGCGGAAACTGAGCGCCTCCAGAGCTTCTCCGTGCGCTGAGCTGCCACCACGTGGGTGGCGCCTTCCGGCAACGCTGCCACTTCAGCGCCCAGCAGCAGGCAGCAGCGCTCCAGCCGCAGCTTCGCCTTCCAAAATTTTGACGTCCGTTTTTCCATGAGGCAAATCTTAAGCTTGGTTGACGTTGGAAGGGGAGCAACAAAAAAATAGCAGCTCAGTGGGGATTTCCCACTAAACCACAATAAGCAAAAATGTTAAATGTTTCCCAACAACAACCGTGTAAGGGTTTTTCCATGAGGTAAGTGGCTGCGGGTCAAAAAATATACAACAATGGAACTATGGTAAATAGAACCGAGGACCAACACCTGCGGTGTTGTGGTGGTTTAATTTTGACCCATACCCAAATCTTAAGGGCCCCAAACCCCAAACCGCCGTACTGTCTTTGGGGTGAAATTTAAAGGGCCCCAAAAAGGACCGGGCCGTTTGGTGCGACCTCTGATGGCTCGGCCTTTCGAAAGCCCCAACCGCTTTTTTTTGTTTGTTTTATGGGCCGAAAAACATGGACCCTTGGGTGGACCTCAGATGAATGGCCAGGAAAAGTGGGTGAACTGTTTGGCCCTTTACTAAAGTGAAGACTATGCAAAGTTTCGAGTTTGCCAAGCAGATCGGTGCGTTTAATCAGGCACCCTTTGGTGGACATCAACGCTTGGCAAAAATTCATGTCCACCAATCACTTGCGAGGTGGTTCCAACTGGCTGTGGCTCAAAATTAAACAGGAGGGGTTACGCAGGCTTTGGTCCATGTTTCCACTTACCAGGGCTCCATTTTGGTACCGGTTTTTGAGCCACAACCAACTCTTAAAATCATAGCCACGTGGGAAATTTAGGGCTCGTCCCCCTGAGTTTTCTTGTTGTTGACATGCTTTATGGTTGAAATTTTGAGCTCGTCCTTTCAAAATCCCCCAAAAGGACCATAGACCATCAGACATTTTGACCGAACCTCCTGAAATAACCTGCATGGGTGAACTGAAGAGAACTATCACCCATTCTTAAGGCCATGTTTTCAAGGCTTATCCGAGGCCTTTCCTGGGCTATCCACTGATAGCACCTGCCCCCAGCCCGCACCGCGTCCAAGGGCAGTCCAAGGGCAGTGACCAAATCTGGATGCCCTTCCTCCCGCACGGCCGTGGAACTCGCCGCCGGGTTTTGCTCCGCTCAGCAAATAGGTTTTGTGTACCCTGTTAGCAACAATCATAGAAGTGGACAACAGGTTTTGGAAGACTACCGCACTCCACTTCCATGAGTCTTGGAGACCTCTCTAAACCCGTGGACCTATTCATCCCCATGATGTCCACGAAAGGGCCCCGAAGTGAGGTTCATGCCCAGATTGTGGGTGTGCCCTTCTTGGGCGGTTTTGAAGGGAAACAAGACAAGCGTTCCCCATTTTGGGGGTTCCCTCATTCATTCACAATTGAAGATACCTATGTTGACCCAGCGTGCCTGGACCCAAGGCTAGGTTTACATCATAAAACCTATGTTGACAAACCTATGTTGAACCCATGGCCGAGCCAAACCTCAGAATTCCCCGACAAAAACGAATCACAGTTCAACGGTTTGGTTCCTCTCGATTGCCCGCTCACCGCTCACGTCAAGGCTAAAGTGAATTGGAGAGATGGGGCCAAGGGGGGCATTGATATGTGGAGGAAGTCTGTACCATTGCCAGACCCAAAAAAACCTGCGTCAGTTGAAGCGCGACCGCGGTTGGGTCAACCTGCTACATGTTGCAACATGCTGACTATGAAAAGCGTCCCAGGAAAGACCTACGGGTGGTTTTTTCCCAGATCCAGACCTTTCCGCGGTGATACTGATGCACGAAATCCATTTCGCACCACCCAAGAAACGCAAGAATGATGATTCCCCTGTAAATACCAACAAACAATGGTTTCAACCATGGTTTCAAAGTGGTGCGAAATGGATTTCGTCCATCCACAGTATCGCAGGCAACTGGCGAGTCATGTGCCTGCTGGCGCAGCCCGGTGAGGCAAAGACGGCACCCAGCGAGGGTCTGACCCCGCAAGCGTTGCACAGCCGCGCGCATCGTGGACACCTTGCGCATATCGGGGTTGATCACATGGTCCCTTACATGGGATGAGCATTGGAGGAAACCACTAAGATGATACATACACATATATGTATATATATATATATAATGTGTATATTTATATATATAATGTATATATATATATACATATTATCGGTCACAGCCCCCCCCCAAAACGAGGTAGGGCCATGATGTGAGGGTTGATCAAAAAGTCCAGTGATTGGGGGGAACCACTAAGATGATATTTCAAAAACATGGGAAGAGTTACCCATGGTCAAAACTGGGGACCGAAGGGAATATTGATCAACCCCCCATATCAAAGTTTCTGAAACTAGAGGTCCCGTAAAATGCTTTGCTTCCTCCTGGTTTCCATACCAGTCAGATGGTCGAAACTACAAATGAAGGTTCATCTCCCTGGTTTTCGTTTGAGTTGTGAGTTTCCCCATAGAATACTGGACATGTGGAACGAACCTCAGGGATCCTAAAGGGACACCAAACACGGCTGTGACGTTCTTTTGGTTGCATTTGAAACACCAACCTAGCTGTTTCAAACATGACCCAATGAAAGACGGATGAAGTCCAAGTGCAAGGTTCCGCATTGATGTTGCGCCAAGGCACGCTTTCCTCACCTTCGCCTTCTTGTAACGCCTCGCAAGCGTCAATCCCTGTCTGCCATGAGTCTTGCATCACTGTTCAAGAAAAGCCACTTCACAGCAACTGTGGATGGCAAAACTCCTGCACCAGTTAGGTGGTTTACCTGGTTTATCCCAGTATTCTCAAAGGGCTTCATCCATCCCAGCTACCGCAGCATGCTGTCCATCTACAGCTATCACCTGCCAAATTTGTTAGATTCGTCCTGTCTGAGCACTGCAGCAACCCGTGCCTCATGAAGACGCCGCAGGATCTCGGCCAAATACTTCAACTGCTGGTCCCCGCGCACAGTCGCAGCGCAATAGGCCTAAGCACAAGGCCTAAGCACAAGGCAAGCCTTCTCTTCCGTCTAGATGCTCAAGGATCGAGTCGCAGTCTCAAGGCCCTCGATTTGCGCAAACATTGTCCCAAGACGAACTCCAACCCAACTCATGTTCCTGCGCTGTCCTCAGAAACCCTGCTTGAAGTATACTCAACTTTTAATTAAAGTCGTGGTTTCGCGGAAACCAATTGCCTCACTAGAAACCAACCACAACGAAAGCGAAAGCCTGAGGAACCGGATGGACCACCCAGTTTCGGAGGCTTGGCCGAGTGGCTTTCGAGGAATCCAGGCGCCGCCGCTTGAAGGGCGTAGCTGGGGCCTGCCACTCGAGGCAGACATCGAGGCGCGGATTCCGGGATTCCGCGTAAGCCACGGCTTGTTCATTCCCTTTGATTGAACAAGAAAATGGTGTGTCTTTTTGTTGAGGGTACGCCATTTGGGTGGATTTTGAAGGAAACCAAAAGAAAGACCACCAAGTTGGCGGGGCTCCACTGTAACAAGCCACAAGCACCGCAGCCCAAATTAACACAGCCCAAATTAACACAACTGCCCCTTCAGCCTAGCACGCGATCCCGCCTGCACTTGTCCGGTGATGAGGCCCTCCAAATCCACAGCTGGCGAGAGAACAACAATCTGAGAATACGTTTCAACTGGGCTGTCCGTTTTCAGATCCCCTGCTGCAAGTTGTTGACTCTGAGTGGGTAAAATGGAAACCCAACCACTAAACCAACCCAAAAAAGGTCTAAACGTTTCAACCATTGAAATAGACTCCCAATGGGGGCTTGTTAGCCACACCCATATGGCCATGGGTCAAAACCCTGTACCCCTCGTCAAAACCCCCCCCCAATCCAAGCACTAAAATTGGTTCAAAAATGGGTGGTGAACTCACCTACCAACCAAAATGGGATCCCAATTCAATGGGTGGCGCTCGTTAGCCACCGCCCATATTTCTGCAACTTGCCCTGCCTTGCCGAAGATCCTCGGGGAAGGGCAAGTATGGAAGCACCTGCCGCCCGTTTTTGTTTTTTTTTGACCTTGTAACAAGGGAAAATAGAAAAAACATATTCTTAAGCAAAGGGAAGCAATCAAAACTGATCGGTATCAAAATGGTCTACCCAGAACCACGTAAGGGGTTAACAAGGAGGATGTCCGCACCCTTTTTACGGCCTCGGGGATTCTCCCCTCACCTTCTACCCGAATCGGTTTCGAGTTCCGAGCACGTGGCTCAACTGGAGGAACCGGATTTTTTGAAGACCTCCGGCGCTTGAGAAACCTTTCGGCGCTTCGCTTCGCTTCGCGCCTTAAGGACTTGGGAGTCCCGCACCTCTTGCGGCCAAACGTCCTCGCGGTCGTCCGCCACCAGCACCCAGGAGGCGTTGCTGGGAAAGATCTGCGTGAGGTCTTTCAGACCTACAGCTCACCCGGACCTTGCAAAGAAACCAGTCTGGCGCCTCAATTTTAAAAAAAAATATGGCTGTGGGTCAAAACCAATTGGTACCATTTTTGGGGTAGGCTCACCCCCAATTTTAGAACCTATTTCAGTGGTTGGATTGGGTCCCGTTCACTGGGTGGATTTTGACCCATGGCCATATCTCAAAAGGCCTCAGGGAAGCAGCGGCTTCCCTTTGCCCCGGCCTGCCGGCGTGTTCTCCCGGTGAAAGATCCGATTTTGCAAGGTGCCGCCGGGGTCGAAGCTGGCGACGGCTTGCTGGGCGTAGTGACCTGCCGTCTTTCCCGTGGGACCCAGAAATCGAATGGTCGTGTTTTCAAGAAAGGCAAAGGAAAAACTTGTGAGTCGCACCAAAAAAAAAAGGTAGTAACATGGTTTACCCAGAACCACGTAAAGAATTACCAAGGCGAATTTCCGCACCCATTTATGGCTGGGATTGTCCCGAACAAACCCAGGCTTTGATTGTGGCTCAGGTCCTCTGGAAGGGTCCAACTGATTTTGTCATGGTAAATGAGGTCCATGTGAAAAGTGATTGATTCAAGTGGTGGCTTACCGTGGAACCGATTCCTTCCTTGTCTTGTCCATTCCCTGCAGATACCGACAGCGAGGCTTACTGGAAGCAGAACGAGCATCCGCATGCAGATTGCGCCAGCACCAAGCACTTGGCCTGTTGCTTGCGTGTAGACATACAGGTCACAGAACTCCTGCGAGCGTGGCAATTCAGCTTGCATCCCTTTTTGATGAAGGACTCCTTGCCCGCGGAATCGGGGCAAAACCAGTCCCAGTGATTCCATTTCCCTGAGTAGGCAACCAAAAGTTAACCAACCTTTCTTCTGAACCTTCCTTACTTTGGCAGTTGTAAAAATTCATGGACTTTGGGCCTTTTTTTCTGGATTCCCCCAAATCGGCACTTTCCCGGAATGTTTCGGCCTAAACTTGGGCTCTCCCCGTTTTGGACCCCCCCAAAAAGGCCGGCCTTTCGCGTCTTGTCGTGGCGTGTCCTGCACCTGCAAGAAGGGCCGCAAGCCCGGGCGGTGCCAAATTTTGCCCTCGCTGGCTGTGACCAGGGTATGGTCCTCCCGAGAGGCGCCCGGTTCCACCGAAGGACCGGCTGGACCGCTTGCCATAGGTGGCCTTTTCCAGAAAACATCGAGGGGTTTCCCGGGGAAATGGGGCATACACCCCATCTAAACCAGGAATCGCCCTCTGCTTTTTAAGCAAACCAACCAAAAAGGACACCTATGCAGCTTGCGAGATAAAAGGGAGCTGGAATTCCCTTTGTCCAATGGAAGTGCGAAGAATTCCTGAAGAGTACCCTGTCAGCTGTCCGCGTAAATGCTCATGTCCAAAACCTACAAACAGAATTAATTGAAGTCTCGTTACTGGGGACCCCGGATTCATCAACCCCGGGTTGATTTCCTCCGGGGGTGTGGAGATTCATCACTTTTGGAGGGGAGCACCTAATACTGGGAAGGGTTTATCCTCCACAACTCCTATTACTGAAGTAGGGGTTTAATCCACCTACATCTGGGATGGGTTTATCCTCCACAAGGTGACACCCCCAGGGGTTTAGTCCGGGACCGGATCCATCACTCCGAGTTGGTGAGCCGTCGCCCCATCCAAACGCGACTCAGGTCCCAGCAAGGTCAAGGATCAGGGCCAAGCGCCGCTGACCCTGCCTTCCTGGCGCGGAAAAAAAAAATAAGAAGAAGAAACAACTTGTGTCCCATGTTGGTTCCATCTCCGCGTGACATATAAAACACTGCATGTTGTAGCATCCATGGTTTCCATATCCTATGAATTTATATACCTATAGTACCTATAGGAATAATATGTGTGAAAGAATGTGGGCTCCTTCCGGATACGCGCATGATTGCCCTTTGGTTTTGGTGCAGCTCCTGTGGACAAACTCCGTTTCGCACCAGTTTGGATGCACAAAACCCGGCTTGAATACTGGGTGGGATAACCACCTAACAAGTGGTGCAGGACTTTTGTCATCCACAGTATGTTGGTATAAGATTCTGATAGCTATCTTCCATGAGTGGACTATGTTTCGCCGATCCAGGCACCGGCAGCCCCGTGGCCCATCTGAGTCACAATCAAAACCGATCGGTACTAAGATGGTCTACCCAGAACCAGGCAAATAATTATTAAATAATTACCAAGGAGATCCGCACCCATTTACGGCAGGGGGAGTATCCCTAACCTTCGATCCCCGATTTTTGAAACGCAAGGTGAAGCTCGGGGGGTGCCCGAGGCCACACCTTGCTCCAGGCCACGTAGAACACTGCTGGAGACCTGCGCACATCAGTTCGAGGCGTGGAAGGTCGAAACAGGCTTCGGGCGGGAATGCATCCAAGACCCAGCTGCTTCAACACCAAGCTACACCAGCTAGTCAACCTCCATTTGCTTAAGTCCCCTGAAAAAAAAACCGTAGTGATACATTCCCTTTAAAACCAACAGGGGCAAATAAAAACATATTCTTAACCAAATGGAAGTCAAGACACCCTCTGTCAAACAGAGGACCTCCTTCGTCCCAAGCATGGGGGAAAAACCCGCGACAAAACTTGCTCTAGGATTTGTGGCACGCTGCCCTTTTGGTTGTTCTGGACCTCGGGGCGTTGCTTGACTGGGGCACTGACCCTACAGAATGTCACATCATTCTCTCCTTGTGAGGCGGAGTATTGTGGCTGAAACCATGGACTCAGGGCTCCCAACAACAAAACCAATAGGAAGCCTGTGACCATCCCTGTGCTCTGCCTTGAGCTCCGTGGTGATGAAGCCTGTCAAGTTGAGACATGTGGGCGAAGACTTAGAACCTCCACCTCCAAACCACCAATCCCCCAGCAGGTTACTCTGTACAACCACTGTGTGGCCACTAAGGGTATCTGTTCCCCGTGTTCCCCTGAAACCGCTTCGCTTTGGGGGTGGAAATCAGCTTTGATCCCAGTGCTTCCAATAGGCAACGCTTCGATATTTGTCATTTGCTTCCTCTGCTGACCTACGGGTAACATGACAGGCACAAGTCCCTTTCTTTCGGTACGGGAAGTGATGACATCAAAATGGAGGGAATTGGGCCATCTGCTTTCACCCAGCTGTAGTGCCCTGTTCTGAAAAACCAACGAAGCCCCTAGCAAATGACCTTCATCATGGGCGGGGTCGCTGTGTTACCCTGGAATAGGTGAAATCGCGCGATAAAGAACGTGTCCAGATCTATGTCGGCTGTCACAGCGGAATGTGGACGGCCATCCGACCAACACTCAAAGTAATCCATCAAACTCGGCAATGCTTAAGCCACATGAGAGTCATGGCCTGCCGAGTTGCCCAACATGAGGGCCCTTTGCGCTAAAAGCGAAGAGGTGTTTTGGAAGGGAGGCTTCTCGATTGACAAGGACTCGTTATCCAACCTGCAGGATGTAGGAAGGATTCCTGTCAGGGTCTTCCTTTGTTGAACTGCCCCACAATCGGAACCCATTCCGTCCCTATTCTTTGGGGCTTTCTCCAATGGACTGAACCGGTTCATGTGGCATCGATCGCCTTTGAATCCACTGGCCTTCAGGTGCTTTCCAAGCCCCAAAGCTACTTTCGAGAACGGCTCCCAACGGACGCAGGATCTAAGTCCGGGAAGACCACGTTCTAAAAGCACATGGGGGATGTCGGGGGAAAAACACATGGAGGATATGAATATTTTTTGAGGGGGGCGGGGGTTATTCAGCACGTTCCCCCATGATGGTTGTGCATAAGGGGACACAGCAAATGCTTCAAAGTTGCACTGAGCACGCTTGACAAGCACAACTGCGCCCAAGCAGACGAAAATCAATGTGACTTCCACAAAAAGAAGGTGCGGATCTGGGTGCTCCAACTCGGTGGGTGTTTCCCCTTGGGTTTTCCTTAAGCCCCCAAAACCCGGGCGCCCTGGCAGGACACGCTGCTCTCCCGCCGCACCTCGCCTGGCCGCACCTCGCCTTCCGCCGCCGCGCCGCAGTGGCAGCACATGCCGGCGAAGACCACCTGGGGCTTGGGGGCCGTTGGCCGCGCGCATCTCCGCGCTGCGCGCGCGGGTGGGCCGCCGTTTTTTGTAAGCAGCGGTTCTTGGGACCAAACAAATTCGATTTCCATTTGCTTGTTCGGTCCCTGGGAAAAATAAAACATGTGTCCAATAGTGATAGATTCGTTTTAAAACCAACAAGGCAAAATGTTACCACTACTACTACTACTACTACTACTACTACTACTACTACTACTACTAATAACAATAATAATAATAATAATAATAATAATAATAATAATAATAACCATAATAATAATAATAATAATAATAATAATAATAATAATAATAATAATAACAATAATGATAATAATAACAATAATAATAATAACAATAATAACAATAATGATAATAGTGATAATAAAATAAAAATATATATTTCTAAGCAAATGGAAGAAATGCGGTGCACTTTTGGTCCACTGAGGTGGCCCATGAATATGAAGGCCTTAAGAGAAAGAAGCGCGACTGCCTTTTCTCTGCTAGGAGCTGGAAGCTCCGAAAGAAGAAGCGCGACGGCCGTTTCGGTCTTTCATGGTCGGCCACTTTTGAGGTGGCCCATGAAAACATGAAAATGTTTGGCCACATGGGAGTAGAGCCTCTCACATGTGAGCCAGGCCGAAAGTACAAATTGCCCGGGGCGTAGGGACAATACGTCTGGTGCGTGGGGAAATTTAGAGCTCGTCTCCCATGTCACTCCCAAAAAACAACGGAGACTACTGGGAACGTTGACCACACTTCACCTGGGAACATGCCCAAGAGAAAATTGATGGGATATCGGTGTCTGTTCGTTAAACCCTTTTGATGGGAGCCGCTTTTTCAAACAGAAAACCTGAGACAACATGCATCGGGTGTGCATTGAAAGGCGTGAATTTGCAGGTTTCTGTCTTTAGTCATACAGGGGTTGGCTGTTCAATACTCTGCACCTGCCGTGCTTCTCAATATAGACCCAAAGAAACCAAGTTTCCTTGTAGATTCCCTTTACCATCCAAAAAGGGGAACAGCCATTTTTGAGAACCGCCTCCCCCTCCCCCCATCTGCGCCGCACATATTCATTCGGCTACATTCTGATCTAGGTCCAATTTTGGACCGGGAGCTGGTCCTTGGCAGAGGGAACAAAAGGGAGGACCTCTGGTTTTCCCATGGGGCGGGCAAGTTGAATCCGCGCCTAAACCTCGGTTTTGCTTGGAGCCGTGGGTCATGGGAAACTCCTGTTCTCACTGCCGTGCGCAGAAAGTCCAGACTTTTACAGAAATCAAAGGCTGGAGATACAGAAACTCGGACTCGCTTTTTTGAGCTCCCCTCCACTCAGAGCCGGGCGTCGTGCGGACAGCCATCACTGGACATTGGCACTTGAGAGTTCAGGTTGCTGCCTGGTTGCATGTGGTTTGCATGTTGGCCAGCTTGAGCTTTGAGGTCTTTTGGCATGGATCCTTTGATGAACACCGCAAGGATCTCTGCAACGTGTCGGATTTTCAAGCAACGCATGCATGTGTCTTGGCGCCCTATGGAACTCATGTGCCTTTCGAGATGGCGAGCCTGGTGAGAGAGACGCGGCCTCCAAAGCCCAGAGCAAATGGTTCGCTACACTTTAGACACCCAGAAAAACCCGGGACCCCTCTCAAAAGAAACTAGGGGATACAGCTGCCAACAGTCAAATCTGTCACCCTTTCAAAGGTAGAAACCCATATAAGACCCCTACGGTGAACCCTGAGTCTATTGGTCAATATAACAAGACATAGCCAAAAATATGGCTTCACTAAACCAGTAACACGCCCCACATGTGTACCAGTTGACTCTTGGTTCAATGGTTACAAAGGTCTCTATAGGGCCTTGCTACTGTAACAGAATCCTGCCCAGTTGGTAGGTGGTTGATCCCATCACTTCTAGGGCTTCATCTATCCCAAGTGGTGCAGGATTCTGCACACTGCCCCCACACACACAACCCGCTTCTCCATGAAATGAGCTTTGGGGATCCATCAAGGTATGGTTGAAGCTGGGGCTTGCCACAGTTTATGCGCCTACTTCGATGCATATAAACATGGAACCCAACCAACACAAAATGCTTTATCGTTACAGGGAACCCAACAACGAAAGCAACATGTTCAGAGACATGGCTGTGAGTCAAAACCCAGTACCCCCGGTGAACATCCCAATTCCCACTAAAATTGGTTCTAAAATGGGTGGTGCACCTACCCCAAAATGGGATCCCAAAACGGTTTTGACCCATGGCCACATCTCTTGTTTTGCTGGTTTCCATCTCGACTCGAGTCCTCCGCGTGAGCTCCGGTCCGAGCGCCCCGCTGAAGAGCAGGCACCAGAAGCGGCGCTGAAGTAGGTGGAGACCACGGACGCCTGGCGAGAGCTCGCTGTCTCTATCAACACCTGGTCTTAAAATAAAGAAACAAGATCCTGGATAGGGCCAAAGTTTATGACCAGGTGGGACAATCCTAATTCTGCCCGCCCCATATGATTTACCCTCGTCCAAATAACCGTTTTTAGGGGTTGTCAGATTTCTTGGCCACCGAAAATGGTGGGTTTCCTGTTGGTCTCACTTCAAATTCAAATTGAAAAGGGTACAAGGGTACCCCAGGAAAAAAAAAAAAAAAAAACACTGCCCCCAACAACTGACAAGGGATTTGGTGCGTAACCCAATTTTCTCATGTTGTGTCGGAGAACCTCCTCTTTACTCTCATAGTTGACGGTAAACAACAGCAAGTGGCTAGTAACCCTATTTCATAAATCCCCTAAGAATTGACCTGCGCGTCCAATGGGGAAATCCCCCTAAAACGAGTGGTTTCCTGTTGGTTTCCCTTTTGACTTGAACCCAATGGTTCTCTGTACACATATGGATGTGGCTCAAAACTAAACAGCTGGGGTTACGCAGGTTTTGGTCCATGTTTCAACCCACCAGGGCCCCGTTTGGGCACCGGTGTTTTGAGCCACAGTCATACGCGCAGGCCCACGAAACTGCCACGTCCTTCCTGGCCTCATTGCTTCCCTCACTGATACGCCTTCGGCAATTGGTGCTGACGGTGGACAGCCATGTTGAGACTATTACATACGGGCGTGTCTTTTTGAACTGACCCCCCAAAAAAAAAGGAAAAAGAAGAAGTGGTGTCTTTTGTGGTGTCCTTCGAACCACCCAAAAAAGAGTTCCCCTCCAAAAAAAGTGACGCCCATATGGCAAATGTGCTGGTGAAATCAATTCTTGGACATGTACTGGAGGGGATGTTTGATCTTGCAGGTCGGCGGTGGGTATGAGTACTCAGATTCGGTTGCAAGCCATCCCTTGAAACTATGCTCCCCCGCGACAGCGTCTCTCCTGGAGCAGTCCTGCCAGATCCATGGCGGTCTTGAGATCAAGCGTGTTCAAACTAGCGCCAACCAATCGGAATAAATGCTTTCCATGTGGGTATGTCAGTCAAAATAGGGCCCAACCTTGAATGGTGTTTTTTTTTCCTTGTGGTTCCCCTTTTCACCCAAAGACCCAAGCACACACCCAAACACCCAACAAAAACACACAGAGCGACCACCTTCCTGGCCCAGCGGGGTCCTCCCGGGCTTCATGACTTCAGAGAATGGCTACGCCATCTAAGCCATCAGATCGATTCGAGGAACAGAAGTTACACTCGTGGGAAGAAGCAAGTGTTTTGCTTTTGGCTGGAAAGGAATTGTCGATCTGTTTCGCGCAACATCTTCTCGCGCTCATGGCAACTTAAGCTGAGGGAAACGGCGGAAGCCGCGCGCAGCCGCGCTGCGCAGGTCGAAAGCGTCACTGGCGAAGCACGACTCTCTCAGCAACCGAACCCAGATGTGGCTCAAATAAATGTACCAAAACGACACCTTGGTGAATGGAACCAAAGACTAAAACCGCGTAACCCTAGCTCTTGCATTTTGAGCCACAGCCACATGATTTAGAGGAAACGCTCTCCAAAGGCCCCTCGTGTCTGTGGTTCACGTCCAGATTCGCTCTTGCCAGTTCTTTCTCCATTGGCAGAGAAGCTCTCTGGATTGGTGACAAAACCGCTGCTTCCTTCCGTTCCGAAGGATGGATGCCCTTGGGGTATGTGATAAACAGCTTCAAAATGGGATACGTTCCTTGTGCGAATCCCTTGAACCCAAGGTGACCAGGGGTAAGGTGAAAAGGGGTACCCTCAAGAACAGCCCAAGGTCGGCACTTGACACAGGAGAGAGCACCTGCACGCATGGCTGAATCGCCCCATCCAGCCTGCAGCTCCCATCGGGTCCGTCTCGGCAATTCGATTCAAAGCGGCCCCCAAAATGCCGAGTGTCTCCAAGTCTCCAGAAGCCTTTGAGCTGAATCCAAGTCTTGGAATTCAAACTTTTTCGCGGCGAAATGGCCTGTCATGCGAGCCGCGAGAAAATTTGCCCGAAATCCATCCGCAAATCGCCGGGACCCGTGTCGTGTGCTGCCGCTCGCTCACCAGGCTCTAGCGGCCACCTGCGAACCGACCCGCAAAACCGACCAGAAGGGGAGAGCCCCCCTGAACTCTGAAGAAATGAGAACCCCGTTTTTGGTTTGGCGGATTTGTTGTTGGGCCCCTTTTTCGGTGTTCCCTTTTTTTTGGATTTTGTGAGAACCCCATTTTGGTTTGGTGTTTTAGATTGGGCCCCGTTTTCGGTGTTCCTTTCCTTGAAGAACCCCAATAAGGTACCCGTTATAGACAGGTGCTGACTGACCTGAAGTCGCCAGATGCGCCTGTCTGTTCCATGGCCACGTCGATCAGATCCTCGTCCTGCATCGAAGTTGGGGTGAACCTGTCGGCCTCAAAAGCAGTACCTGGACCCTCAGACTACCCTTGAACATGGGAATTCACCCACCCTGAATTTGGGGCAGATAACCTATGTTTAAGGGCAGTTAAAAACTTTGAGCGGCCGCATCGTCACAAACGCACGCAACACACAAACACTTCGCCCCTCAAGTGTGTGCTTCAACATGGTGACCCCTTTCTGGAGGCAGGGAACCAAAACCCATGCTATTCAGCGTTCTCCATGTTGAGGAACAACCATGTAGATGTCCGTAGGTTCGATCGGTTCAGCCCCTTGAATAGTGCCGGCTTACGCCTCTGTTTGAACAACCTCCTATTCGTTGCAAAGGGCACGGGTTGGTTTTCAACAAGCTTTGCCCCCAAGACCTAGATACATCACTTTGGGCTCTCTAAAATAGGGGCACCCAAGGAAAAAACAACTGCTGCACTTTGGTTTCCCGCCGCCAACATGGGCTCCCCTCCCCTCCCCCCCCTCCCGCCAAGGGAGTTTTTGCCCCACCTCCCCAAAAAAGAAACGTCCTCAAGCCCCAGCTTCTCCGCCGTGTCGTCCGCCGCGATACGCTCACCGTCCACCATAAAACGGACCTGGCGGCCGCTGTGGTGACTTGCTCGCCCTTGGATGGGGAAAACCCGGTGGTCCCCCAATTCCTGGTGGCTTCCCTTTGAGCACCGAAAACCCCCGTTTTAGGGAAGCCGTATCTGGGGTGCAAGACCGATCTATTCGATCGATAAAATTTGGCGCCAGGGAGCAAACATGGACACTAGTTACCCATTTCTACCCATACCAATAGGGATTTAGCTACCGGCATGTTTTGCCATTATCAAAGTCACCTGTAAGTTAAAGGGAAACAACCCCATTCTCTGACGTTGAAAACCCTTTACACTGTAAACGTACCGACCCTAGTTTCTCATACAAATTCCTGGAGGGACTGATCGGGCCAACGCCGCAAATGCCACGGCCCTCAATGGCTTTGTAATGAAACCGCCAGTGCTCGGACCTTCGTGCCTGAAAGTGGCTTCCTGGAAGTTGCACCTTCTAAGACCTGCCCTTTTTGGTGGTTCCCTCTGATTGGCAGCCCCCGATTTTCAGCTTCCCTCTGATGGTTTGGAGCCCGGTGGTTTTAGTGGTTGAGGGGTGTCCGATCCCTCTGCCAAAGCCAGGGACAGGTTCAAATTTCCCAAACCGGCACTCTAATTGCCTGATATGGCTAGGAATCTGAAAAATGGGCCCCTGTGGTGGACATCAAAAGTCGGTGGGTTGGATTTAGGTCCACCAACCACTTTTTTCAGGGAAGCTTCTCCCCAGAAGGACAACTCCCTTGGCCCATATTTCGTCGAGGCCCTGCGCCTGCGATGCTTGCAAGCCCAGGCGGCTGCAATAGGCGTCCATCAGCTTCCTGAGGGAAACGCTCGCCGGGAGGAGGTCACTGGCCCACTGGGCTAAACGGAAAATATGATCTACGTCAAGCCAGGGGATCCCAATACACATAAGATAAGATGTTCAGATGTTGCAGATTTTGGTTGGGCTCCTTTCGGATGTAAACCAAACAACATATGATTTTCCTTTGGTGCAAGCGATCCAAACCTGTTTAGAACCCATTCGGTCCGGGTCTGAGGAATGACTGCATGAGCCCCGGCAAAAAAACAAGTCTCCCCAAGAGCGGGAAATGGCCTCCCCAACTCCAAAAAAACAAAAACTCGGCAAATTTCCTTCCACCCCTGGTGGGTGAGCTTCCTGCCTTCCGGGGTTTCTTCTATCAGGCAACCCCCCCGGCAGTCGGGCCTCAATGGAGTCGTCTTCTTGATCTTGAACTGGACCTGCGACGGTCTTGGGACCGGGATGGTCCGGGGGAAACGATTCAGGCAACATGAATCGAGGTGTTTTTTTGCATCTTTCCTGAACCGGGGACCTTCTGGGTTTCAGTGTTTGGCTCAACTGAAAAACAGAACCCCGCGTACAGCAGGCGAATTGAGCCAATCACAAATGCATGCCCGGCGTTGGACGACGAAACTCATCTGGCAACCTTTGCCCTCCCTAAACCTCTGTTCTCATGGAAATCCGGCCGCATGATCTTCAACCAAACCAACGCCCACACCTCGCTGCCCTGCTGGTCCTTCACCTGGCATCAGAACGACCCACGGAAAAATCCTGAACTCTGCCGAGTCTGTGGTTCTTTGATTGATCCCAAAAACCCCAGGAGGCTCCCACTGAACAGTCGCTTCCCTGATGCGCCGCTCGCGGACTCGGGGAACGGACTCGCACGCCCGCCTTCAGCTGGATGTGCTGAGGTGCATCTCCGCCCTTGGGACTTGGGGCTCCAAGAGGTAAGTCACAGCAGAAAGGGGCGCTAGCGCCCGCGTGCCTATGCGGCCTATGCCCAGGTAGGCCATCGGAAGAAAAGGGCATCCGTTTTTGCTTGGTTGACTTTAAAGGGACACCCTTGCCACAAAAACCAAAGGGTGTAAACTGGGCAACTGGCTTTTGGGAACAGCAAAGTCCGCGACCCGTCCGTGACTGATTTCATGGTACAGGCTGGCTGCTCAAAGACATGGAGACCACGGCGCCTTAGGAAATGGAACCAAAAACAGGAAGCTGCGGTTTGTTCGAGCCACAGCCGGCTAGACCTCAAAACCTTGTGCCTATTGGTTGAACAGCAAGGTCCATGGCCGACGTCTACTGATTTCATGCTCATGCTCGCTGTTGGTAGCTTCTGGGATATGCCCACACCACCAACTAGGAAGCTGAAAAGTGGCTCAGGGATTTGTTTTCTTTTCCTTATACCAACTTGACCTTTCAGAAGTTCCCACCAAAAACCAGAGCGACATATCTAACCTGAGGCTTCCGCTTCAGCCATGTTGCGAAAGTCGGGCGAGCCTGGTTCGCATTTGGCGTTCGGCCGCTTAACCCCTGTGGATTTTCATGGGAAAGGCACCCTTTTTATGCAAATCTGCTCAAAATAGGACTCGGAATCCTCCTTCCTCCAAAATCAAACCAGTGGCATGGGCAAAATTGCCTGTTCCCCAAGAGGACATGGCAACAATAGCAAAGTCTGCAGGTTCTTGCGGGGAACTTTAGAGCGCCTCCATGTCCCAAACCCAAATGGAGCATAGGCTACCGGACATGTTCTAGGTCCTCCAGTAGAGAGGTTAGAATAAGGGTACCCTTCTTTTTGTAGTCTATTCTAGTAGGGGAACCCTCCGCCAAAAAAGAAACGGTAAGAAAGGGCACCTAGCTGGGGGACCCCGTGTTGAACGAACCAAAGGCGCTGGCCTTAGGATCTGCGGGCACTGGAAATCTGAGCTGAGCAGCTGCGGCAACGAGTGTGCAACAGACCTCACTTGGCTGTGGGTCAAAAATGCATACCGAAAATGGAACCCTGGTAAATGGAACAAAAGACTAAAACCTGCGGTCCCTGGTGGTTTTATACTCAAACCTGGTACAAAAGTGGTTGACCCAGAACCATGTAAAGAATTAAGAAGGTGGCTGCAACTATTTCTGGCTGGGATTCTCCCTTACTACCCTCCAATTACCCAGGTTTTGATTGTGGCTCACCTGAACCAATCCAAGCAAAACCGCTCAGTCATCCAGTCAGCGGACAGTCAGGCAGTCAGACGCTCCCATTTGGTCGCCGCATTGAGACATCGGCTCAGCTTAGAGAGACGATGACAAATCCTTTGCAAGCCCTGGCAAGTTCAGTGACATACTTGTGCCACATGTGAGTACGCGACTTCGTAGGGGAGGTTGCGAAAGGATGAGTCCCATGACTGACATTACTCATGCGCTGGTTGCGCAGTGGCCAGTGGTCATATTCACAAGCATGGAAGCCCCATCCATGCTTGCCTTCAAGCCACTCGCACAAACAAGATTGAGCCAACAAAGCCATGCGGCAAAATGGCATGAGCTCCGCGAGTGGCCTGTCTGGCTACAGGCCGCCTCTTAGATGGCTGGCTTGTTTTGCTCAGCGGCCACCTGACAAATCAAGGCAGCGGAGATGCCGTTCATTTGATCCAACATCTGCAAGTTTCGGATTTAAGCATTCCGAGCTTCATTGAAGCCATGTTATCCGCCAAGCATGCTGCAGAATCGGTATCATGCAGACCAGCGGAAGATCCATGCCTGTCTGTTCCATGGCCACATCGATGAGATCCTCATCCTAGGCCGCTTGTCTTCAACCGGAGCCGCAGAACCATTGCATCATGTCCACATGTCAAAAGGAGCACCACCTGTAGCGGCCTTCAGGCATGAATTCTCCCTGGAGCAGTGTTCCTGGTCAACCTGCAACCCCGAACCTAGGATGCGTTCAACCCCAAACCTAGGATGGTAGGAGGCTGCGAGTCAACAGGTCCATGCGGCTTCCAACACTTTTGCGGGGCACCCCTGAGAAGGCGACATCAAATGACACCAAAGACCATCCGTGCAAAAGGGTGACCCTTCAAAACACATTCCACTTTGGGTTCTACCAACCTGCGCCGCTTTCATACTGAGGATGGACGAACTCCTGCACCACGTGGCAAGATGGCTCCCCTGTAAATACCAGCAAATCGAGGTTTGCCATGGTGCCAAATAGATTTCCTCCATCCGCAGCCCTGCTACAACCAATACCCCGCACCTGGCCTCAAGACACGGCTTTCGCACCCGTCCGGCCTCGAGTCCCAGCTTCTCCGCGGTGTCGTCTGCCGCGATACGTTCTCCATCCACCATGAAGCGGACCTACCGGGCAGCTGCCAAGCGCAAAGTAGGCTGCGCGTGAAACAAAAGCGCATGTTCCGTTTGGCTTGCCCAGTCTGATCGAAATACTCCTGAGGACTACATACATATATAAATCGTTGTTTGTTTGCTCTACATATATATATATATGTGTATATATATATATGTTTGCTCTCTATATCTGTACATATGTATATTATGCACACATACACTCTCAATACATGCTGAAAGCATTAAAATTCTCCAGGCAAAGCTCGTGGATTGCCATTGTTCGGCGATTGTTGTCGTCCGCGTTGCCCGCTCGGAGTTCGCGGGCCAAGGGCGGCGCGGACTTCGCCGATTTCGGGTTCCCGGGTGTCCAATTCGCTTCAAGGGACGCAAATCCCGGAAAAACATCCCCTGGTTCATTCGCATTGCAAACCCGACCGATGTGTTCGGCGCACCAAAAGAGTTCACCATGATTTTTTCTGTGTCTGTGTGTCTGTGTTTGTGTGTTTGTGTTTGTGGTTGCTTGTGTTTGAGTGTGGTGTGTGTGTGTGTGGCTGTGTCTGTGTCTGTTTGCTTGTTTGATTGGTTGTTTGCTTGTTTGTTCGCTCGTTCGTTCGTTCGATTGTGTTTCCCTGTGTTTTTTGTTTGTGTGTCTGTCTGTGTGTTTGTTTGCTTGCTTGCTTGTTTGTTTGTTTGTTTGTTTGTTTGTTGGTTTGGCAGTTTGCCTGCTTGTTTGATTGTTTCTGTCATTCTTTGTTTGTTTGTTCTCCTTGGTTGCTTGTTTGTTTGTCTGCTTGCTTGTTGGTTTGGTTTGGATTGGATTGGATTGGATCGGTTTGGTTTGGTTGTTTGCTTGTTTGACTATTTGAGCTTCTTTTTTTTTCTCTCTCTCTCTCTCTTTTTCGATTGTTTGTTTGCTTGTGTACTTGTTTGCTTATTTGCTTGCTTGTTTGTCAGGGTTTGTGTGCTTGTTTGTTGGTTGAGGGTACCCTTTCGCAGATAGGTTTCAAGGGAAACCACAGGAAGAGCCTTTCGCATTGGGTCCCCCGATTTTGACCCAGCCACTCCCAACCGCCTCTCAAATCAAATCTTGTGACTCGTGCCTGAGAGGCCTGCAGTCCCAGTCGGCTGCAGTAGGCGTCCATTAGCTTCCTGAAGCCCGTGCTGGGTCTGTCTTTCTTCGAGGCTCGGTACCTTTGTTTGTGTGGCTTCAACACCAAAAGCAGAGTCACTTTTCGTTCATTTTTTGGGGGGAGTCCCCAGAAAAATAGACGCACCCACAGATTATTGGTCTGGTCCATGCTCTTGGCATTTTCAACTAACAGGTTAGTTGATGATTCAAGAGATCTAAATAGGGACAAAGTGAGCAACCATGTCAGTGTTGCCCAAAACTGATAGGCAAGCAACATTGTGCGTTGCTCCTGGACCCTCATGTCACTGTGGGTTGCTTTCCCCCCCAAGCAAAGGTCTATCCTCTGTAGATTTAATGGAGACGAAAGGCTTGACCACAACTTGATCTGGAAGATTGAGCTTGGAAGGGGACTACTTGTAGACATCCGAGATGTCCGTAAACCATGTCAAAGAGCCACGTGTGGCCAGCTTCTCCGAGTTTTGTCGGAACCCGGTCGGGCCTCAAAGGAGTCGTCTTCTTGATCTTGAACTGGACCTGACGGTTTTGGGTTCTCAGCATAGACCCCCGTTTGGCTGATGGGAGAACCAACAGGCAAACCAATTACCTGAAGGATTCCTGAATTTCGAGAAACACCCATATTGATTGTTCCCTGCTGACATGCTGATTTGCTGAGTAACCCCCCCCCCTCCATCCTAATGCCGGTTTGCTGAGTGTAGCCAATGTCTTCTCCGTAGAATGTAGCAAACATTGACAGTTGCTCACCTGAATTGGTCGGCTGTAGCAACTGGACAGATTCCACCTGAAACGACGCGAACACACTCCCGGGGATTGAATCTGCGTCTGTGTTCAATCAACAAAAACAACGGGCAAGTCGACCAATGGCCCGTGGCTTTCAGCTTCCACACCCAAAAGCAATGCAAGAGGTTGAGCCCCGCTCCCTCCTGGAGCGGGTCTCGGGCAAAAATCAGAAGCCACGGCACACCGCCGGATGTTTCGTGTCTCCTCAGTTTACGGTGCCCAACATGAGGTGATTTCCTCTGAACCACGGGCAGAAAGCCCCACAAGAAGGTTTTTGTTGCTTTCTGTTGCTTAGTTCTTCAGGGGCAATAGAAGCTGCGAGGGGTTATCGGGAGCCACTTGCGGGTTTGAGCAGTTTGGCCGATCTAAGGGAGAACCACCTCCGGGCCGAGGTGTCCCATCGAAACGACTCTCTCGGGTCGTCACCTCGCTGCCCTGCTGGTCTTTCACCTGCGACCCGCATGGAAGTGTTCAACGAATGGGTCTCCTGGAAGGGTCTCTAACAAAAGGATTGACACAACCAAAATGCAGAGGACGTCCTTGCGGTAAACCCCTTTAATGGCATACCTTCTGGTTTTTGGTATTCCTTTCAAACAGGGTGTCCTCAGGCACGCTATGTTCAACCCTGTTTGTTCAGCTGTTTCTATGACACCCAAAATCACGAGAGTAGCTCTGGTTGCCTGAAAGCCAAGATTGGACTTGTTTTGGGCAATACTCGGCCCGATCGGGATCTCTCAAACGGAGCCCCTATTGGTTTCCTTTCTCCTCTATGGGTCCGAATCCCATTTTGACAGCCGAGACGGTCCCAGAATTGGGGCTTTCCTCTTGGCTTCCCCCTAAAACCAGCAAGAAAAGGTACCAACTCAAAAAAGAAAAGAAAAAGACACACCCACATGGCCCCGCCTCAACCAAAAAAAAACGAATCCCCAAAATGGCCCATGGGGAACAACGACTCAAGCCACGGCGATTCAGCCCAAAAAGCCCAGAGACCTGCCTTCAGTTGGATGTGCTGAGGTGCCTCGGCCTGGCGAATCCCCGTGTCGACCAAATGGCTCATTTGAGTCGAAATCAAAACCTGGTCCCAGTGGATCGCAGGCGTTTCGCCACCTACACGGGTAACCCCAAAATTTGTCCTCTTCGCTTTTGCCTGGAACCACCATGAAGTTGCCGTGGTTCATTGGGTTTTTACAGGGTCCTTCCCTCGATTGTCGGCTATACCGAGAAATGGAATGGTACCCTCCTGTCCATGTTTCCCTGAAACCCACCAGAGAAACGGTCCCTTTTGAAGGAATGTAGCCGGCACCCCTTAGTGAACGGGATTGTCCCTATCCTTCATCTACCTGGGTGTGGCTCGTGTGCTCATTTTGGTTGCGCGGGCTTCTCAACATTTCACTCAAGGAAACCAACAATGGATACCAAACACCCCCAAGGCCACTTTGGTAGATGGCTCTGCCTGGTAAATGGGGTTTGGTCGCCGGGACTTCTGCCAGGCTTCAGAAGAACAAATCTGAAAATGGCTAGAGCACAACACAAGGCTTGCCCCTTCCCCACTATTGGCCACAAGGCATCCGTCTTAACATACGAGCAACCGGCAGCATTACGTACCAATGGCTCAATTTGAACGCACACATTGGAGTCCCAAGTCCTCTCGACAGACCTCTGCTCAGGGTACGAATTTCTGGCGCTAACTTGGTGGACCTGACTTACATGGGGAGTTCTCCCCACCAACCTCTTGAGATTTTGAGTCGGCAAAGGAAGTTTAGAAGGAAATTGCGTGGTACGGACATTAGTTCAAAGCTAGCTAATCGATAGATAGATAGATAGATAGATAGATAGATAGATAGACAGATAGATTGGTTAGATAGATAGATAGATAGATCGATAGATATATTAGATAGATTAGATAGATAGATAGATAGATAGATAGATAGATAGATAGATAGATAGATAGATAGATAGATAGATAGATAGATAGATAGATAGATAGATAGATAGATAGATAGATAGATAGATAGATAGATAGATAGATAGATAGATAGATAGATAGATAGATAGATAGATAGATAGATAGATAGATAGATAGATAGATAGATAGATAGATCAATAGATAACTCGACAATAGATTAGACTAGACTAGATTAAATGTATATTAGATTTAGATTGGATGACATTACATTAGATAGATAGATTGCCAAATAGATAGAAACATAGAAAGATAGAAATAAACCTATACAGATAGTTGTAGATAGATTCTGTAGATAGATGGTGTAGATAGACAGGCAGACAGGCACACAGACACAGACAGACACAGACAGACACAAGCAGATAGAGATATTAGAGAGATAGATGCACATAGATGGATGGATAGAAAGATAGAAAGGCTAGATAGATCGACAGAACGATCGATACAGGGAAGACAAACAAACAAGATAAGGGGAATAGATACATGGATGGATAGATAGATAGATAGATGGAAAGTCAGATAAGACAGAACATGGGCAAATAGAAAGTGACAAAAGTTCGAAGTAAAGAAAGAGAAGAAACAGAACAGCACGAAAGGAAGGAGGAAATCAATAAAGAACTAACAAATTGCAGAAAGACAGCAAGAAAGAAAGAAAGAAAGAAAGAAAGAAAGAAAGAAAGAAAGAAAGACAAAAAGAAAGATGGCCAACAGCAAGAAGATAAATATATGACAAACAAACAAATATGGCTATACTTTGTCTATGTGGTTGAAGCTTCCGCCCGCCAGATTCGCCAGCTCTACTGGCAGCCATTCAGAGTACGTTTCCACCTAGGGGAACCCCCAAAAACGATGGCGTTCCATTTGCTTTCTGAGCAGGATACTCTCAAAACACACACACACACACATTCACAAACGCAAAGGCACACCATTTGACGCAACGGCCCCTTGGGCCCCAACGTCACCCATGGCAGCGACCTGGAAGCCTTGCGAGGAGTCTAACTGTAAGCCAGAAGCTGCGAACGGCTGACGGGTTGCATGCGACTCAGACACTATCTCCATGGCACTGACTTGGAAGAGAGTGGCACGGAACCGGCCCATTCTTTTTTCTAGCAAATCGAACCGGTTTCTTAAGGCTCCCTCGTTCCTGGTGGGCGTTGCTGGGCCCAAGTGCTTGACCCTGGCTCAGAATGCTCTTGCGGACACTGGCAGCGAGCGCATGTTTTGACCAGCGGGGGGTAACTTGCAATTCAACTCACCTGCGAGTCTCCACCGACAGACGGGGCCTTAGGAATTCCCAGCGGCGTTCCGAGTTTCCGCCTCGCGGATCGGCCAGATTGGATGCGACAGGATCTGGTGAAATCTGGGCGATTCCCAGACGAAGTGCCTCTCGTCCTTCCAGCTTTTTGAAAAACCAACGCTCAATGACCGGGGTGTGGCGAAGTGTGTACAGGCAAAAGCCCGTATGGCCCCTCCAGCGCTCCACATATGCCGCAGAACTCGGCGTTTGGACATTTAAACATGCAGTGAGGCACTTCAGCCACAGCAGCTACATAGTGTGAAACCTTACAAGGCAAAGCCCTCGCAACGCAATTAACCAATTTCTCGCGGCCGTCTCCAAACGGGATCCGGCCGTTGCGGATCAAGATGTGGGGACTCGGTGCGCTAAGACTGGATGCGTATCCACCTTTTTAGATCGTCGGAACGCACAAATCATCATATCTGTTTGGTACGACCTTTGAACCTTTTGGAAAACTATTATCTCTGACCAGAAGGTGAAACAGCTCTTGCAAGGGATCCAAAGTATATTGCAAGAAATGCGCAGGTCCCTCAGCAACCGTGACCTCGGCAAACATGAAACCCAAGGGTGCGAGGCGTTGCCTCTTCAGCACCCAAATAGAAAGTACAATCGCCTTTTCGAGCAAGGCCGAAGCTTGAAAGTTAAAACTTCCGAAGATTGGCAGAATGCACAGAAAGTGCTGCTTTAGCATATTCTGCACTGCAATGCCTGTTTTCCTTCAGGGAGGAAACCAAAGGCCCCACGCCCCCAGCCTTAGGGTTCTTGGACACCTCAAGGGTGTCCTTTTGGGGGCCAGCCCCTTTTTGGCTGGTTTTAAGGCAAACCAACAAAAAACAACGATTTTGGCGGCCCTAGGTGGTGGGTAGGGCCCTGTCCCTCCAGGGCTACATTGTGTCACCCTCATTCGAAGCAGCAAGTACGGCACAGCGGGCAATGGGTGGCTCTCTGCCTAGGTGACAAAACGCCGTGCCCTTTCCATCTGGCGGGCGTGTCTTTTGCTGACGGTTCCCTTCTTGGATTCCTTCTTAAGGCCTTACTATAGGCCCCCTGCAACCTCTAAAAAAGCGGGGTTCTCAAAAGCACCGGTCCCCAAAAAGTGTTGATTTCCTTGCGACTTCCATTTACATATTAACAGAAAGGTTCCCCATCTTGAGAACCCCCAATTCAGGGATCCTTTTCACAACATGTGCGTGGAAGAACGCCTGGCTTCCGAAGAGAACGAGGGAACATGGGGAATCGAGCCTTACGACGTTGCTATTGTTTGGCGGGCTCATTGACAAGTGCACAACAGCACCGGAACTGCGCCGGAACTCCCGTTGTTGACAGGCACAATGAACATGATCTGGGCGTGACCTTTCTTCAGACTACCATGAATACCAGCCAAGAGGAAGACCACCTTGCTTTTGCGGGGGGGGGGGTCCCCAAAAAAAGGGCGCACCCTAATATGGCTACCTTTGCACCGCGTGTTTGCCAACCACACGTGTGTCCGTCACTGCGCAATGCTGAAAGCTGGGGGCAGCACATCCAGTTTGCCACACACCTACAGCGAGCTGCCCCGCAGACACTTAAGCACGAGTCTTTCCTCCATGCCTGTGGAATTCTGTTCCTGCACCTCAAAGGGAGCGCTTTCATGCCTTCGAGGCTCGACCTTTGTTGGTGGGTTAAACAAAGAGGCCAGAAGGAAAACCGAAAGGGCCATTTGGGGCTTGCCCCAAAAAGAACACACACACACACACAAACCTCTGAATCCCCAACAAACCTTCTTATTGGATATTGAAAGAATCAGCGCCTCGCGAATCACGAATCGGGTCGAATCGATCACCAGGGCTCTCGCTGCGTGTGGAAGAAGTGCGCACAACGCAGCACCGTGAGCGTCTCATGCTCCTCCAAGGAGTGTCTAACCTGCCTGAACCATTGGCTCCTTCTTTAGTCGCTTTTGACAAGACATGAGGCAAAAATTGCACCCGAAGTTCTTGGACAAGACATGAGGCACAAATTGCACCCGAAGTTCTTGGACAAGACATGAGGCCAAACATTGCACCCGAAGTTCTTGGAAAGCCCAGTAATGGCTGCTTGGAAAGTG